GTTGATTATGAGAACTACAGCAAGAACACCCCACGTGGTCCTTGGGCAAATTCTCTAAGCCGTCCTGTGTTTCCGATGTGGTGGTCGCAGCGGCAGTGGGCTGGGCTTGACTGTCATCACCGTGGTCCCTTTCAACAGCCAGAGGGATCCTTAAATCTTGGTCACCCCTCCATTCCTCCAAAGCCTTCCCATTTCACTCAGACAAAATCCAAAGCTACCCCCGAGGCTCTCAGTGTCGTACAAGACCAGCTCAGCTGCCTCGCCGGCCTCCTTTCCTGGGACCCACCCACGCGCTCCTGCCTCAGGGCCTTTGCCCTTGCTGTCCCCTCTGCCCAGCGCATCCTCCCCCGTACATCGGCAGGGACCCCGTCGTCACCTCCTTCCAGTCTCTGCTCCAGTGTCACCTTCTCGGCGACACCATCCACGACCACCCTTTGTAAAATAGCACCCCTTCCCTTTTCACCTCCTCATCCTGTTCGATTGCTCATCTAAACAAGCACCCCCACCCGACCAATCAGGATGAGGCATCACTTCGTTTCTTGTCTTCTTCCCCTAGAGTATGAGCCTTCCCTGCTGGAGCCTTGTTGATGAGAACAGGGCCAGGCACACAGTAGGTGCTCTATGCATATTGGTTGCACGAGAGAATGGCCTCTTGGGCTCCTCGGGCACCCCGGGCAGAGGGGCGGAGAAGGCAGAAGGCAGCAAGCTGCGCCAGGTAGGGAGGGGAGCGGTGGGGGAGGCAGAGCCATATTCTGAAGGAGGAAACTGCCAGGGCTGCTGCCGGCTGCCCCGGGGGGTGGGGGGGGGAGGTCAGCAGGGCACAGCTGGGTGCAGATGCTCATCTTCCCCCTTCCCCTCCCCCAAGTGCAAGAGCACCCCGGAACCACTAAGCTGAGCCCTGCCCCAGAGCAGGCGGGAGAACTGAAAGCCAAACCTAGAATCTTCAGAGTTGAAGCAAACCCCCGAGTCTCTAGTTTGCTGACCTGCTGCTTTATTTAGGACCAAAAGATAGAACCGAGGAGGGGACTGGGAGCTCATCCCAAGAAAAGGAAGCTCGGGCCTCCCCGAATATCGATGATAACAAGAACAGGAGGTGTATCCACCTGGACGGATTTATGGAATTGACCCCAGATGGTGCAAATGAAAAGCGTTTCTCTTAGGGACCACTTACTGATGGGAGCTGGCAGCCCAGGCTCCTGGCCATCGCACCTCCTGAGGGGCAGGGGGTGGAAACACGGAAAGGGGGATGGGAAGACATCGTGGAGGAGCACAGCCTCTCTTTCGGCCCGCTGGTCTCCTGCCAGGACCCTCCACACCGAGTGCTACCAGAAGACCGGCCAAGGGAGCAGGGGACGCAGTGGGCAGGGCAGCCCACAGGGCACAGAGCCGGGCAAGAATGTCCCCTGGGAACGTGGAGAAGAACCAGCACTGGGCGGAGAGCAGGGCACAGACAAGACCCTCGGGCCCTATTTGCTGACTGTGGCCAGGCGTCCCCAGCCCAACTCCCAGCGTCCTCTGCAAACTGCTCGGTCCTCAGTGCTCAGCCTAAGCACCAAAGGCACCGAAAAGCCTTTACACACACACACACACAGGCACGCACTTCCATGCAACTCTCACACGCACACAACACACACACAACTCTCACACTTGCATTTACACACACGTCCATATTCATTCTCACACACTAGACACCTCCACACCTCCATGAACGGACCCACACATTTACACACATCTGAGCGTGAGTTCATAACCTCTTTTCACTATGTTCTCATAACACCCCATGAGTAATCTTGCTCTGGTCTACCTCTCCCCAGACTGCGAGCAACGTGAGGGCAGGAGCTGTGTCTTCTTATTGGCATGTGTTAATACAAACTTAGCATGGGAGTGTGATGATGGGGATAGCATGAGAGACCGCTCCTACTGAGCTCCTACCTCACACTGTGCATGCCTAAAGTCTTTATTCATGGTAGCATTTCCATTACTCCCCATGAAGTGAGCGTGGGTATCCCTATTTTTCAGATACAAAAACAGAGACTCCAAAAGATTAATAGCTTTTCCCACGATAACTCAAGTAGCGAGGGGCAGAGCTTAATGCAAATGTCCCTGCCTCCCAACACCATGTTCTCATGTCTGAGCCTAGCACAGGGCCTGCCAGGTGGAGAGATTCACGAATAGTGGCCAAAGGGAACTTTCTCTGCAGTCTCCGTGGAGGTGGAAGATTATGAGCCTGGCTCTGAACATCACCTGTCTCCAATCCAAAATCACTAGGTGTGAAATGGAATTGCTCTGGCGGATCTGAGACAAGCCTGTGGGAGGGCTGAGGGATGGAACACAGGCCTCCTGATGTCCTGGGTCACCCTGACTCCAGGCTCACCTGGGCGGGGGGGCGCCGGCCTCCCTCCTTCCCCCCCACTGCACGTTGACCTTGGAGGACCCCGCCAATGCCCACTGGGTCTGCACAAGCTCATCAGCTGGAAGTTTCACTTCTGTGCCTACACTTTGGAGGGGTGTTGGCAATAGGGGCAGAATGCTGGATGTGTGGAAACCAACTGACTCCAAATTCAGAAAATGAACCCAGAAAGAACACTTGCCTTGATGGTGCAACTCTTGTTTGCCTACCATTTGACTTCTAGCAGGAAGTATTTTTAAAGGGTATTTTTCTCCCTTGCTGGCTAGTTCCTCATTGAGAAATTCTCTTTTGTGACACTTGGACATCTTAGCTCCCAAAGTGATGATTGGGACTTTTTTTTTTAATTTCCACTTCTAGGTTTGGATTCACTTCTTCATTCATCTGGAAGAGCAGAAAGGATTTCCAAATGCTTACAGAATGTCTCTTTCGAGCCCCGAAGACAGGCCTTGTCCCCAGACCCTGACTGTCACCTTTTGGAACCACGTGGCACAAGATGGGATGTCTCCACCTCCTCTTCCTCTCCCCTGACCCCTACTCCCGCACCCGGCACGGTTTATCAGCACCCTCCATGTCCCACCGTACGTTATGAAGCAACATGATAAAATCTCCTGCTAGGTTTGGTAAGAAATAGAGTGTAACCCGATGGTGAAACCGTAATGAGCTTCAGAGCTGAAGGGGAACATGTTGATGCTGGAAACTTCCTTACTCCCTGCCCTTCCTGGAGACCAAGAAAACAGAAACTATCACCCCTTATGGCAGCCCATCAGCAGGGTCCCTCTGAACCCTTACGCTGCGTATTTGCCCATCACCAATCTTCCTGGTCCCTCTGAACCCTTACGCTGCGTATTTGCCCATCACCAATCTTCCAGGCCCCTCTGGGCTTCCATCCTCTTGATGACGACAGGGTGTGAGCTCCTGCTTCCTCCGCTAGCCTCGCCTGATTCTCTTTCACTCAGACTCGACACGGGGCAGCACCAGGCTCCTGCCATGCCTTCCACAGCCTGTTCTATCTTTGCCTCATGGTATTTTCTTTGCCCAGGATGGCTTTCCCCCTCAGATTTTATCCAGGAAGATCCTCCTTACACTGGACTCACCCTGAATATCGTTTTCCAAGCCCCAAGCTTCCCTCTGCCTCAACATTCACCACCTTGTGTTGAGAACATCTGCCCTCTGGTCGACCTCTCACCTCTGAGTTCTGGGAAGACAGAGAAACCATGTCTGGCTTCATCCTGATTCCCGGAGCCTCCCAGCACAGGGACTGGCATAGCGTGAGTGTGCAGAGGAACTCTTTCTAGAATCTGGCTCAACACCCTTCGCTTGCCCTCATCCTCTAAATAGGCATGTGAATTGGCCCAACCTGGGCCCAGAGAAACAGGAACTTAGAGATAAGTGCAAAGTGACCAAATCCCCTAGACCACCATGTGTGGGGTGAGTAACAGAGCAAGCAGCCCAGAGCAGGCACCCCAGGAAGATATCGGTGGTAGGAGTCCCCAAGGCAAGATGATTCCAGCAGGGAAGCAAGTGGCCCTGCATGGTAGAGGGTCCATGGGTGGTTCCAGACTGTACATTCCACCAGAAATTCCAGCTGTGGAGCAAATTGCCTTCAGTTGAAATCTCTCACCCTCGTTAAAAAGGAAAGCCCTGGGCAAGTACTTCTAAGCTATCTTTATTTCTACAGCTTTCTTTATGACCACAAAAGTTCTGCTCTACCAGAACCTGAGTCCATCATCTAATTAATTTCATATCAACTCTCTGAGATTGGGATCATTTTTCCTATTTTATGAATGAGGAAACTTAAGTAGAGAAAAATTAGGTTGCCCAAGATCCACACATCTCAGAAAGTAGAACTAGAATCCGAACCCAATTCTGGCTGGCCCCATGGCCCTTTCTTTTACCCCAAAGTTGAACTACCTACTTGAATAAGAGAAAATTCTCCAAACAGGAACCAGGAGACCTGTCATGTGACTTTGGCCTGGTCATAATCACTCTGGCTCTTGATTTCCTCATCATTTCCCTATAAGTTACACTTGGCTCAAGACACATTTAACATCACTTCCTCTACAGAGCCTCTCCTGACCACTCCATGTCATAGTCAAGGGCAGCTAACCAATCCTTCCTTTGGGCTCCCACCAGCCTCTCTGTCCCAGCACCTATGCATCAGTTAGCTATCACTGTGTAACAAACCACTCCCAAACTCAATGGCTTCAAACCAGTGGTCAGAAAACATTTTCTTAAAGGCCCAGATAACAAATATTTGGGGCCTTGCAGATTATATGGTCTCTGTCTCCACTTCTCAGCTCTGCCTTTATAGCTCCAAGAAACTCTAAACAATACATGAATAAATGGGCACAACTGTATTCTAATAAAACTTTATTTACAAAAACTGGTAGCTTACTGGTCCACAAGCCATAGCTTGCTAATCCATGCGTTGAGCAATAAGCATTTATCATTGCTCATGAGTCTATGAGTTGGCTAAACCAATCTACTCATCTGGGCCAGGCTCAGCTGATCTTGCCAGAGCTCATTCATGCATTGTGTTCAACTGTCCAGATGCCTGGGTGTTAGCCAGTTTAAGACGCTCATTGCATACCTGGTAGCTGGCCTGCTCTCAGTAAAGGTGATAGAGATGACTGGGCCATGAGTCTCTTGTCATCAAGGAGGCTATCCTGGAGTTGTTTTCTTAGAAACTCTGCAAAATCCCTGAAGATGGTGGAAGCACACAAGGTCAGTTGAGGCCTAGGCTCAAAATTGGCCCACCACTTCTTCTACCACATTGTATTTCATAAAGCATATCACAAGAGCAGCCTAGGCCCAAAGGGTAGGCAAATAGCTTCAGCTTCCTAATAGGAGAAGCTAGGAACTCACATCACAAAGAGTGTGACTATAGCATGAACCAAGGCATTGTGACCAGTCACTCCACCACAGTCAGGTGCACCAGTGTGTGTTATATGTATGCCTCCCTCTCTTTAGACTATAAGCCCCTTAAAGACGGGTTTCCATATCTTATTCATCTTTGTGTCTCCAGTGCCTATCACAGGGCCTGGAACAAGTCTGTTTCACTGTAAAGAGATCTCAAATCCATTCATCTCCATCATCAGCACCCCTACTCTGGTTCAAGGTATTGTCAGCTCTCACCTGGCCCACTGCCATTGCCTCCTGACTGCTGGGGTGGGGCGGGGGGCAGGGGGGATGGTTAACATTTACTAGGCATTGGGAAAGAGTTTACATCCACTGGAGTCAGAAAACAAGGCAAGTGCTGAAGAACACCAAACACTTGGGAGGGAAAGTTGGAGGCTTCTACTAACTAATACAGGGAAACAGGGCAGAAAGGGAAGTCTGGGGATGCTGGTGCTCTGGTCATGACTCCAGTCTGTGTTGGTCCTGGTGCAGCTCCTATCAAGACAACTGGGGTCAACCATGGCAGGAAAGTCCAAGAACTTACACAGGGAGCCCACATGGCCAGCCAGGAGCAACACGGCTTCAGCATTGAAATCAACACCCAGCTCTGCTTCTTTACTTTACAGATAACTTAGCCTTTCCATGCCTTACATCATCCGCAAAATGGAAATAAAAACAAATAACTCCCTCTCATCATCAATATGAAACTCCAAATGAAAGAGTTTATTCAAAGGATGTTGTGATAAGAGCTGCCACTCATGGGGCACCAGGACACATTTTACACGCTGTAGCTCATTTACTCCCCACCACGACCTTCATAAGGCAGGCCCTGCTGCTAACTCCAGCTTACAGATGAGGAAGCAGAGGCTCAGAAATGTTTAGCAACTTGCCCAAGGTTGCACAGCTAGTAGGACGTGGATCTGGGATTTGAGTTCACCCTCTTGTTCCAGAGCCTATGCTTGTGATTACTCAACACACTCAACCAACTCCAGGTGACGTTATCATTAAGGCCCCGGCCATCCCCAAGGCCAGGCACGCCTTCCTCTCCCCTTCCTGTCTACGTGCGCCTGGCCAAATGGCAAAAGAGAGGCCTGTGTCCCGTCCTTGCCTCTGCCACCTCCTCACCCCCTGACCTAGAGCAAGGAAGGTCACCTTTCTGAAACTCAGTAGTCGCCCTTTCCCTAAAATGGGTCTAATAATTTGTTCCACCCCAGCAGATCATCACAGGGAATAAAACCAGTGTAACCAACCACACATTGAGAGTTACCCAGCAATGCCTAAATCGAACGGACTACGAGACAAAGCACTTCCAGCTGAAAGAACATGGCCACTGGAGGCCCCAGTGCTCACTGAGGAGCTAGCTCCTGCGAAGCGGACCACCCCTGCCCAGAGGCCACCCTGTTTATGCAATGATCGACAAAACTCAAGAGGCTGCCATCTGCCCTCAGAGCAGGCCCAGATGATACTTTCCTCTTTGCTTCACTGGCTTCAGGTTGGTGTTTTTCTTTAAAAAAAAAAAAAAGTTTGGCAAGGGATGTTGTCCCAAAAACTTTAGTGGTTTGGTTTTCTTTCTTTCTTTTTCCTGATTTTTTTTTTTTTTTGATTGCATGCAACTTCAAACAATGGCATCATTTACAGGCTCGAGGCGGCCTCCTGCCATGGGTCCCATGCTGAGCTCTGCTGTCTAAATCATTGGCTGTGGCCACTCTGACCTTGAAACTGCCGCTCTCCTCTGAGGTTGGGTCACGTGGCGTCTGAGCGCTCAGCAGCCTTGGAGTGACAGTGTGGACTAGACAGAACGCTGATTTTCTATTTTAAGCCCATCTGTTGTTATGAAGTGACCAGTGGTACATTTTTCTCTTTCTTCCCAATGAGTCTCCAAGATTCTCCATGTTAAGCTCCATGGCTCTAACCTTCCCACTCTTGATTCCTTATTCTGGGAGATGTTATAAATAAGGTTGGCCAAAGTCCACTGCCCTTAGATGTGTATAGTGTGCATAACATGGGTTTTCTACCCTCCTGGATTCCTGGAATTAGGACACTTTATGTTGAGACAATATTTTGGAGAGGAGATCCATTCAACCCTAGAAGTCATTTACACTAGAGTATGAATTGGCCTTTTTAACAGATCTGAAAGCAGTTGCTAGATGGAAAAGGTGGAAAGGATGAGACTTCTGGGAGTTATAAGTGAGATGAAATACCACAGAGGGTGGGAAAGGGGTAGGAACAGAGGATTGTCAGACGCTGAAAATGAACTTTACCTCTGTCATCAATTTGCCTTGTGCTGGGACCATGCCAAAGATTTACTCTGAAAGGAGGTGAACCTCAAAGAGACCTCCATATTGTGTATGAGATTTATCTTTATTTGCATTATCTAACAAATTTTATATAGCACATCTGTGTGTTAGGGGCTGTGTCTTTACAAATGCAGACTAATTTAATCCTCACAACAACCACATTAGGTAAGTATTATTCCTATCCCCATATGACAGACGAGGAAACTGAAGTACAGAAAAATTGAGTAATTTGCAGGACATCACACAGCTTCTGAGGGGCAGGGCTGGAATTCAAATCCAGGCAGTTTGGCCCCAAAGTCCATGCCATTAACACCTACGCTATAAAAGCAAAGGGACACAAAGCCATTGGTGTAATTTCATTTTATTTTTTGGGCAACTAAATGAGTAAACTCCTGTGATGAGTAAGTCATTTCAACATTCAACTTGAAAGTATCATCAGGACTTCAGAACCAGTAATCAGAGAGTGGCTTCTGAAATTGATGATGACATTGATTAATTCATCTTTCTGACTCATTCAACAGGTATTACCAAGCAGCCTCTATGCCTTTGGCCAGACACCGAGTAGACAATCATTAGTAAGATGGTCATGGCCCCGTGTGCTCAGAGCTTACCATCTGGAGAGCACTCAAGCCTCAGCTGGTAATTGCGGTACAGATGGCAGGTGGCAGGTGTGGGCCAGCTCACTCGAGGAGTCCCGGGATGCAGAGGGGAAGGTTTAGAGAAATGACATCGATGCTGAACCCTCACGAATGAGCAGGAGTCAGCCAGATGACGAGGCAGGGGCAGAGGGAACCAAGCAGGGAGAACCAAGAAGATGTGGTATATATATATATATATATATATATATATATACACACAATGGAATATTAGGCAGCCATCAAAAAAATGAAATCTTGCCATTTGCAATGACTTTGATGGAACTAGAGGCTAATATGCTAAGCGAAATAAGTCAATCAGATAAAGACAATTATCATATGATCTCACTGATTTGTGGAATTTAAGAAACAAAACACAGGATCATAGGGGAAGAGAGGAAAAAATAAAACAAGATGAAACCAGAGAGGGAGACAAACAATAAGAGACTTTTAATCATAGGAAACAAAGTGAGGGTTGCTGGAGGGGGTGGGGGTGGGGGGAATGGGGTAACTGGGTGATGGGCATTAAGGAGGGCATATGATATAATGAGCACTGGGTATTATATAAGACTGATGAAGCACAGGCCTGTACATCTGAAACCAAGAATACATTTTATGGGGCGCCTGGGTGGCTCAGTTGGTTAAGCGACTGCCTTCGGCTCAGGTCATGATCCTGGAGTCCCTGGATCGAGTCCTGCATCGGGCTCCCTGCTCGGCGGGGAGTCTGCTAATCCCTCTCCCGCTCCCCCCTCTTGTGCTCTCTCTCTCTCTCACTCTCTCTCTCAAATAAATAAATAAAATCTTAAAAAAAAAAAAGAATACATTATACGTTAATTAATTGAATTTAAATTTAAAAATGTTATATAATGAGAAAAAAATGTTATAAAAATTAATTAATTAATTAATTCTAATAATGAATGATGAGATTGGCGTGATTATCATCTCCATTCTACAGATGTAGAAACTGAGGCCCAGAGAGGTTAGATAATTTGACCAAGTCACTCAGTAAGTATAGAGCCAAGATTCAAATCCCAGAGACTAAGCCTGGAAAGAAGAAATAGTTCCCTCATTGTACTTTCATTTGTTCATTCATTCCAGAGACACATAGTTGTGCCCATTGTGAGTCATATACCATGCTATGTGGTGGGGATATAGACATAAATGGGATAGGGCTGTTGGCCAGGAGGAGCAGACAATCTACAGAGGAAGATGGACAAACTAAAGGAAACCTTCACACCAAGAGACGCCTACCATGTTCAAGGTCAGCTCACAGTGCTAGCGAGCCCTCAGCTGGGACCGCTAACCCAGCATGGGGATGTTGGGGGTGGGGGCTCTTGGAGATGAACAGGACTTCTGTATTCACAAACAGAAGCCCTGGCCAGGTCCCCTCACTCCTTTCCAGGAACCCCCTCCCCAGGATGAGGAGTGTCCGAAAGGAAAGAGGTGGGCAGACCCAGGGAGGTGGGATAAGGTCACCCTTGTCTAATGAAGCTCATGGGACACTCAGCAACTTGAAACTGGCTGTGACATGCCCTCAGCTGTCCAAATTACCCATTGGTACACCATTCAGACTGCGGCTTCCAGAACTTTCCAAGATTTGCATCTTCCAGAGCCTAACCTAGTGCCTAAGAACAGGCCTTCAACAAAGGTGTGGAGCTTTACCGTCAGCTAGAGCCTATTCAAGTCCCAGCTCCACCACACAGTGGCCTGGTGACCCCAGGCAAGCTTTTTGTAGCTTTCTGAGCCTCAGTTTCCTAATCTGAAAAGCTGGGATAATAATATTTATTTTCTAGGTTTGTTATGAGGGTTAAATGTGTATGAAGCCCCTGATATTTTGTAGGCTTTTAATAGATGGCTACTATTATTATGAAAATAATTACTGATTAAAGCTAAAAGTAGACCATGTCCCCTTGCTCCCCAGTCCTTCCCACCAGGGCACGGAGGCAAAAGGAGGAAAACCAGAGTGTGGAAAGTGGCTGAGTGTGTGGCGACCTGAGGTCCCATCTGAACTTGATCACTCACCTGTATAAATTGGATGGGTCCTATCCCCACTCTGGGTCTCAGTTTCCTCCTCTGTAAAATGAGACTACTAGCCTAGACTTGGAGATCCTATGAGCAAATGCCTACTGGAATAGAGCAGCGACAAAATAGAAATGAGCTAAGGGAAGCTAATGTAGGAGCACCTACCGTTCAGTCCCTGCGGACAGTTGCCAGATGGGAATGGCAACTCACTGTTCCCAGATATTCTGATTTTCATCAGAAGCTGGACATCTGGATTTTTTGTAAAGAATCTTGAATTATAAAAAAAAAAAAAAGTAACTATTTGCAGCTTTTAATCTCCTCAAACACCATAAAGTTAAACAAAGCAGGTCTTCAAGCCAAGGCTAATCCAATGGCTGCCATTTTGGCAACTGCAGGCCAGATAACTTCTATGGGCAGCGACTCTGCCCCCCAACCCCACCCCAACTCTGCTGCCCCCTTTGCCTGTTTCTGAGAAAACACATCTTTCAGGTCCCCTTTTCAGTTCCTTCCCCCATGTGCGTCACAAACCTACGAGGCCTCAGAGGGTGCCCCGCTGAGGCCCAGGACTCCCTAGAACCCTACAGAAATGCATCCTAGCAAGTTCTCCTTGCATTTCCAGAAGCCTGTGCACCTCTCAGTTCCCAGTTCCAGTTTGTGACGACTGATTTCCTATACTGACCTCACTCCCTACTTCACCAAATGGAAAGGGTTGATGAAATCATCATTTCAGCCCCAACATGGTGGAGCAGGTGTGAAAACCAGGGCTGAGCTGAGAGCCAGAGTGT